GAACCGGCCTTCAGTATTTGTAGTACCCAATGACGACAGCACGGGCTCATGAGAAAAATACAAAAAAATAGTCGGTAATAAAATGCCGTCGTAGCACTGTCTATGCACCTTTTTCGCAAGGGTGCAGCCATCTTGAATATCGTCACTTCTGGCGTGCGGCAAAACATCGTTTTAATAGACCGATCTCGCTAAGCGTTCCACGCATGCGTGACGCTGCCATAACTCTAGTTTATAGGATGCACACGCTAGTTCACGAGACAGCTCATGCCGCCTCGTGCTCTGCTCGTGCAGACCTCCAGCGGGGTTGGCGCACGTGCAGAAAGACCACAGCTCCCACGATGCATGGCGGCAGCGGTGGCGTACTCAAACTAGGTGCTGAGATCGGTCTATTTCTCCACGCCGCTGGAACGTGTTCACGAAAAATCTGAGATTGTCACACATCCTTGTTTTGCCTCACCTCGCATATTCCAGGTTCGAATGTTTTTTTGTGGTTTTTTTTTTAATTTTTTTGTCCTGCATACCAGATACACGTGAGTGAGAACGACAGCACACAGCGATGTTTAGAGCACATGCTCAGAACGAGCTCACATTACTAGGCTCCTGAGACCGGTAATCTTGATGGTGCGGAATGCAAAATAACTGGGGAACCTCGCCATCTGCACGCGCTCAGCAGTCGCACACACAGCTATGGCCGCCACTGAATACTCCCTATTACACAAAGCCACAGTCAGCGCACAATACTTGCGGACAACATTCAAATCAAATGTGTTTATTTCCAGCTTGTAAAAATACAGATGGAGGGGCTGTGGAAAAAAAAGCTGCGCTTAGCAGCTTGGCGAGCCCACAGTTCCTGTATTAATGGCAACTAAGCAGCACTACGGTGGGAAGAACGAACATGCATAAAAAGGATAATGACAACGAAAATGCAAAGGTATGTAGGCATATAAAACAAAAATCATACTCCCATGGTTACAGACATTGCACGGAGTTCACTGTACTTACAGGCGAATAAATCAAAATGCATAAGCTGATAAGCGTTTATTAATGACGGAAGTGTATAACACAGGCATTCTTTTTTGTAGTTTAAACGAGGTGTAGGTACTACCCAATTCTCTCCATGTCTTGTAGTATAGTTCAATTCTCTTATTTCTAGTTCTTCCAGATTACGTATACTATTTATATTCCTCTGTGTTTCCAACTTACACCGTACACTCAATCGATATTTATATAGGATGTATGCTGGGATCACGTGGGAACGATAAAAAAAAAGTTTGCACATGATGCTCTGTAGGGCGCGTTGTAAATATGTCGAAGACATTTTTTTTTTTTTTTTACGAAATGAACACGTTCCAAGTTTGAAAATGTGGTTGCCCCCCCCCCCCCCCCCCACACACACACACACACTAGTTGACAGTAATTCAAATGGGAATAAAAGAGTGAATTATACACAAGTAACTTGATTCTTGTGTGAAGAAGGTATCTAACACGACCTATTATTCCCGTTATCTGCGCTATTTTGCCTACTAAATAGTGTTTGCGGAAAACACGACACCGAGACATTTAAAGTGCTCCACAATTTCTATTAGACGGGAATTAAGGAAAATATTTCTACGCACTGGAATTGACTTATTTTTTGGTCTGAATATTACTGCTTTTGTTTTTAATTCATTTATTTGCATGGAATTAGATTTTGACCAGTTCTCCAGTGCTTTCATTGTGTGATTACATGTATCTACCAGTTCATGGATATCAGTGCCGGCAAAGAAAATACTAGTGTCATCAGCGTAGGTAGTGAATTTGTCACTAGGGTTAACTTTTACAATATCAGTAAGATAAATATTAAATAGCAGTTTCCCTAATGCACTACCTTGTGGTGCACCACGAGTCACGGATAGAGCCTTAGAACACATGTTGTTTATCTGAACAACCTGTTTTCGGTTTGATAAATAGGATTTCGAAAGTAATAAAACCTGTCCACAAATACCATAGTAACTAAGTTTCCCCAACAGGATATCATGACTCACTAAATCAAAGGCCTTGGAAAAATCCACAAATACACCAGCTACAATCGCTTTGTTTTAAATTGTGTAAGAATATATTCTTTTTGTTCGAGTAACGGCAATTCCGTTGATTGACGTTACTCGTTAGTTAGTTAGCCTGCTATGCAATCAAAGCTATCTGCGAACGTGTGCTTCAGCATCTTCAGCACCCATCAAAGCAGTGCACGCGCTCTCCAGCTCTTCTGAAATAGCTGTCCGAGAGTAAAGTGCAGTAACTGTGGTGCCGCGTGACAGCAGTTAAAGCTGAGTGAACCGCGGTTAAGAGCGCCCGTGTAACAAGAGTTCAGACTTTTAGCAAATCGTTGCCGTGTTCCGCGTAACGCTCTAGCGGAGCCTTTGAAGCATGCTTTTATACGCGCGCCTCGTTGTCACAGTTTCAACCTAGCGCGCGCTTAAAGGCATGCTTCATAATAGTGCGGTACGCGGAACACGGTAACGGTTTGCTAAAAGTCCCTAATGCCAAGAGCTCGTGCCGGGAGACGACCTTGCTCGCTTTCAGGAACAAAGCCGAAACAAAATCGTCGGACACAGAATGGTCAAATGTCATCATCCTAAGCAAAGCGCACATAAAAATACCCTAGTTCACAATATTGACTCTAAAACTTGACATTTAAAAAGGATTTCCTGTACGATTCCCGTTCAAATTGGAGCATACAACAAAGGCCTTTCACGCAAATACTTTGCTACGATCGAGTTAAAACAATGGAGTTTGTAGAAGACTCAGCTGTTTGCAAAATTCACAGTTCTAAAGTTTGAAAGAGTTGAAAGTTCGAAAGCGGAAGGGTGATAAAAAATGTGCGTGAAAAATGCACGAACAGTGCAATTAGCATAGATAAAGAAGCTCGGGAAACATTCGTACACGGTTCCGTTAAAGGACGTCGGGCAGCCATAGCCACAAGCGGGAGCTATAGCCCGCACGGTACAGATTCATCTGGCGTCGCACTATAGCTCGGGTGCGACACCAGATGAATCTGTGCCACCCGCACTCCTAGCTTTGAGACGTGCATTTCTAGCGCTGGCGCTCGTTCTGTGGAGGAACGTTTCAAAACAGCGATTCGTGCTCTCGTGCTTGTAGCATTGGCTGCAGCATAACCTCCTCTATACTCGAAAAGCCTGGCAGTTCAACGACGGAGCCATAGAGTGCCCGGTCGCCGTTTCGGAGCGCGAGTATCTGGTAGCACAAAGAATCAAAGAGCCAAAGAGCCTGGACGTCAGCGCACAGATTCTGCAGCGGCGAGGACCACAACACACACGTGTTCGCTCAAAGAAGTGTTTCGGCGTCTCGCCGCAGCAGGGCGCCAGTCACGTGACTCTCCTCTCATCCCTTGTCTGCCGCTCTACCTTTTCCATTTCGGCGGACGCTTCTCGTGGCGATGCGCCAGACTGTGTCAGTATATAGGAGGCTATGGCTGCAGTCTCAGCTTAACGGGGAACGAAGTATAGATGGCGGGTTCGGCGCATGCATCCTGAATCATTTTATAGTTATTATTTCGCTATTAAGGCAAGCACGCGCCAGCGGATGAACATTTTGCAAACGCTTGAACCACTTCGAACAATCATGCACGATTTAGAGGCCTTGGAATTCGCGCATGTGCTCATCCAGCGAAAGCGTCAGCTGCGTGATTGCGTGGCCTTACCTGCTTTTGTCACGCACAAAGATTCCAGCAAGGAATGCGTTTAGTAAGCCACGGATGCATATTATTCTTGATTCTTCCTTTCCGCTCGGTATTGTCAAGTTCTCGAGGCATGCTCTTCTGCAACCCTTTTGCACTTTTGCACTTCAGAATCCAGGTCAAATATACGAAGCATTGGTAAAGTTATGCCATACTGGGAGACAAATGTATGTGGCAGTTCAGACGCAAAGATTGCGCATGCACAATTTTAGTCATCGTTTAGGAATAGCGCCAGTGCAGGAGCGCCCTTGTGGTTATAACTACGTTTCTGCAGAAAACTGTCATCGTAGGTCGTAGTACTATATTAGAGTCAGCATAAAACACCGCATCTGCAATCATCACTACAAGATGTTGCTACTCACACCTAATTGGGGCTGTGCGGATATTTATACAGCGTGCAGTCGGTCAGCCATTTCAAAGTTGCGACGAGTCAGTCGCTGTAGGTGAGCAATTTAGCCAGTGCAGTGCAACCACTAGTCTGGGGTCTTTAACGTGCACCACGCAGTAGTGATACACGACCGTACGCGGGTACTATATTACAGTCAGCATAAAAGACCGCATCTGTACTAATCACTACAAGATGTTGCTCCTCACACTTGTTAGGTCTAACCTGGCGTTCTTCAGCACGCTTCTCCTTTGAGCGAACGCATTTGCGTGACTAGTAATAGTGGTACGCTATTTATAACTAGCTCCTCGCGGGACCTTTTCGAAAGTGCAGCCGATACACATTACACAGTGAGGAATTCATGTGTTAGATCGCTCATAGTCATGTGTCAACCACAAGTTCTCAAAGTCCTAAAGGAATGACCAGGGGCCCGCACTAGTGATGTACTTAGACCGCGATCCAGCCTTTGAACTCAGTGCCCCTTGGGCGAAGATGCGTGCATGGGACTAATGGCGTGTCCCCCCCTTCCCCCTCCACCCCCAATCGCGAACCCGCAGGTGAGTGGAGAGTTGCCGGCGCCCTTGCGGCAGTGAGCGTCGCCGGAGCTGCCATGTGGGGCCCGTGGCGCCCCGTGGCTCGCAGGTGGCATGCTAGCCCGGGCTGCCATGCGCCAGCGGCCCGGCGGCAGCAGCAGCGTGAGAGCAGCGGCAGCGGCAGCGGGGCGGGCGGCGGCTGGGCGGCAGGCATCGGCAGCTGAGTGCCAGCGGACGAAGCAGAGCAGAGCACCGCGGCGTTCGTGCAGCGCCCCGAAGCGTCACCAACACGGATCACGCTCAGCAGGCGCCGCACGACAACCACCACCATCCGCAAGACGGCAAGAGCATGTCCTTCCTGTTTCGCTTCCACGACCTGATCGGAGGCATCCACGTGCCCATCGACGACGGCGTGGACAAGCTCAACCGCAAATACACGCTGGTGGTGTTCCTGTTCCTGGCGCTGCCCATCTTCACGCGCCAGTACATCGGGGACCCCATCGAGTGCTTCACGCCCACCTACTTCACGGACGCCCAAGCGCGCTTCGTCAACAGCTACTGCTGGACGGCGTCCACCTACTACCTGGTGAGCGAGGTGGAGGCCGGCGCCGAGGAGGGGGGCGCCGACCAAGCGCCGGCAAGGGAGCCTCCGGACCCGCGTGTCCAGCCTGAAGAGCTCGACTACGCTGGCTTCGAGACGCCGCCCGCGGGAGGCGCGGAGCGTCTGCGTCGCGTCCACGTGTCCTACTATCAATGGGCCCCACTGATCCTGCTGGTGCAGGGCTGCTGCTTCCATCTGCCCTTTGTGCTGTGGGGCGCGTGCGCGCACAGCGCTGGCGTCAAGCTGCGACGGCTGCTCAAGCGAGCCTCGGACATCGCGAGTCTGCCTCCGGGTTGCCAGCAACGAGAGGCCCTGCTTTCGGAGTTCGTGGACCAGTTCCACACGCTGGTGGCCGGCAGCGCGGGCTGCTGCACGGACCCTGCCTGCGGCCTGCCACTGGCGTGCCGCTGCGTGGGAGGGCCCACGCGCTACCTCTGCCTCCTCTACCTGCTTGTCAAGTCCATGTACGTGCTCAACGTGGGCCTCCAGTTCCTGCTGCTCACGGCCTTCCTGGGCCGCGGCTTCCTGCGCCACGGGCTCGAGCTGGCGCGCCGGATCATGGCCGACGGAGACTGGTGGAACTCGCCGCGGTTCCCGCTGCAGACCCTCTGCCAGGTGCGCGCCGCACTCCAGGGCGGACTGCGCACCTACCTGTGCCGCTGCGTGCTGCCCATCAACGTGTTCAACGAGAAGATCTTCTCGGTGGTCTGGTTCTACCTGGCGCTGCTGCTGCCGCTGAACCTGGCCTCCCTGCTGCTCTGGCTGTGGCGCTGCTTCCGCTGCAACCGGTTCGCCTTCGTACGGCTCTGTCTCTGGAGGACCCGCATGGTGAGCCTGGGCGAACTGTCGCGCGTCTCGCGCAAGATCGCCGTCAACTACCTGGGCTGGGACGGCGTGTTCGTGCTGCGCCTGATCGAGAACAACCACGGCAGCGCCATGGCCACCATCATCCTGGGACGCATGTACGACTTCTACGCCAACCAGATGAAGGCGCAGGACGACGGCTCCGACGTGGAGCTCGGCCCGATGCCGCCCTCGGTAGCCGCCCAACAGCAGGCCGCCATGCACCCGTGCCACCCGGGAGCGTGCCACGGGGCTCCGCCGCCCTGCGCCCACCAGTTCGGTACCAGGCGGCCAGGCGGCTACTGGGGCAAGTGAGCCGCCGCGCAAGCAGCAGGGCCCCGTAGCCGTAGCACGGCCTAGCCCGAGCCCTAGGCTCTCGTAGAGCGCATGTAACCCCAGCCGCAGCATGTAGCGGCCTCGCTATGCAAGCCCCGGAAGGCTTCCGCCGGGGGGGCACAATAAATACCTACTTCCCTGCTGCTGTACCACTGCGCGTGCCGCTGCTGGCTCCAATGGCTGCCGGACCCCTTGGTACCGTCTGGGGGCGCCACAGGCCCATGGGCGCCTCCCCGGACTTCACCCGCCCGGCTCGCGGTCGAACGAAGCCGTCCAAGGAAGCGCTTCCTTTGTCGCGAGGGCAAAGGCCTCTATGCACACGTGCCAAGGGACAAACCGGCGGGAAGAGGAGCTCCGCCGTCGCCGCTTTGTTCGTCGGGCCGAGTGGGTGACTCGCGGCGGCCAACACTCGCGCGCGCCCCGAATGTGCGCAGGACCCACCTCATCCACGCCCCCCTGCACTCTCGGGACGCCGTGCGCCGCCCGCGGGACGAGAGAAGGGCCTCAGCTGTTTGTCGTTGCGAGAGGAGGCTAGTGTTGTTTTTGCGTAGGCCTGTTGAGAGTCTTTTTTCTTTGCCGAGTAGCTGCGAGCGGCAGGCCTTGAGCACGAGGCCGGCCGAGCGAGCGGGACACCCCAGCGGACGTGTCCCAGACCACTGCCGCACCAGATCACTCCCGGGGGCCCCCAGGTGCTTGATCCACCGTCGTCGCCCAAGATAGCAAAGGTGAGTGCCGCTCGAAGGCCCCCAGGGGGTCGCAGCCTCGCTCAGGGGGGCGGCCGGCTGGCGGACAACTGCCCCTCGCAGGTTCCGCCAGGATGGAGCGGAGGGACCGGCGGTTCGTTCAGGGTCGGCGGTCCCTGGTCCCAAAGGCGTGCCCGATAGGTGAGACTCCCCGCTGACTAAAGGTCTTCGGGCATCCATTCACAAGGCGCCCTTGCGCCGACTTTTCCGCGCAGCACTCGGGAGGTGAAATTGAACATTGCGAATGCATACACACAGGGAAATATTGGTTTTTGGTTTACCCTTGAACTTCTGCGATGCATGGTTCCACTTGGCGCACGAGCGATTCAGCAAGGACTGTACGCCTGCTGCTTTTATAATGGACCGCAGAGTACTGCACGCCAGTGTGATGTTCATCATACCGAAACTGGCAGGGGCGATGATTGAGCCCAGTACTCCGATATGCAGCGCAAACTTTCGCTTCGCGTGCCTGGAGCTATTGTAAGCCAACGCATTGCACACTAATAAAAGGGACTCGGAAAATCATGATGCAGAAAACCCCACACTGTGGCTTTTACTCGAAAAATGGCAAAATAAATATCTTCTTTTATACTTCGTTTGAGCTTAAGTCCAGATGCAGTCGATGCTACAAGCGCGAGATCCGGCCTTTCAGCGTCCCTGCCAAGCGCGCGCGCGCTCGTGCAGCACAAGCACTGTTCAGAGCCACATGCTCGCGCTTGTAGCATCGGTTGCGTCTGGACTTAAGTTGAAACGACGTATACCTAAGTATGAAGTGTGCAGTTAGACACTAACAGTGATGCGAGTCTGTGACCTGATCCTCAGGCCGAGTTTCCTCCACAGACAATTTTCATTGGCCCTCCGAGTATTCTGCGGAAATAGGCGCACGGTCTAGAGTTTCAAATCAACGACGCCGTGCTACTCGAAAGAATAGCACTGAAGTCTATGAAAACAAATTGCTTACTTTGGATTGCCGTGCGGATTCGAAAACATCACCTAATTCGTTGAACTCGTGCTTACAGCCTCCGCAACGCTCACATAATATGGAAATTACAGCCGCATTAGGCTACTCACTCTCTGGAATCTCACCGAGATTCCAAGCCACCCAAACGTGATTACATGCCCGCACAACAACTGAGCCGATGCAAAAAAAAGTGGTGTCTAGGCAATAGCTTGTAAAGAGACTACGGTGAAGGATAAAAAAAACGAATAAACAGAAACATGAAGCCGTTGTTTGATTCTTCATCTGCCACGCTTACGACATGCACAAATAGAAAGGAAATGCGACAACTGTCCATAGCCGTTGCTAGCTGTGGTACTACGACAGCTGAACTCAGACTAATTTAGATGGGGTGAGCACTCAGAAGAATGTTTACACCCGTGGAAACCTTTCTGTGACCTTTCGACAAAAAGAAAAGAGCGCGTGCACGGTTTCATGCACGCGCCCCCATACCCTTGACTGCATAGCCACAAAAAGTTGTCCATGGTATAGATTCAAGACCTCGAGCCAGATGCAATCAGGAGAGAAAATATTAGCGCTGTTCAAGTGACTACATAAGAGCCAAGAACTCCACACCCATGTCCCTTGTTGAGGCAACTGACCTGTGGTTATTATTTCTTCCAGTGATCTTAGGGCCCATACTTAAGGCCGGTTCACACAGCACTGTTTTCTTACGTTGTTTTTTTTTTTTTTTTTTTTTTTTGCGTTTGGCATAAGTCACCGCAACATTCGTGTCTCGAATGTGGCGTGCTATCTGCTTGAACCGGTAGCCACGTTTAACATAAATCACAGATGTCCCAGTAACTTGTGGCGTAAACATATGTACGCTTTCGTAAGATAAGGTAGCGTTAGAAATCATGGCTGTGTGAACCGTCCATTAGCTTCATGTCTAACAAATATAGAAACGTAGGTTCAGGGTAGGCAGAAAGAATAAACAACGACATCGTCGACACGAGCATATCCTTCACCTTTTGAAAATATTATTCGTGTCGTCCTTTTCATTGTTCGTTTAATAAGGCCCTGTCACATTGAGGAAACTCGTCGGCGACATCAGCACAACATGTTGATCAACAGTCAGAAAACATGTTGTTCGTTGGATCTGTTGCCCAAAAGACCTGTCACATTGCGGAAACGTCAGCACAATATGGACGACAGCGACCATATTGTATCGGTGAGACAGTTTCGGTAACATAAACAGCAGCAACTTGTGTCGGACAACGCGTGTTGCCCGGTTCGGTGGATGAGCAAATATTGTTTTGACAACACAACAAAGCTTTGAGGGTAAAGCGCTCGATTAGTGGCATGTTTCTTTCGAAGAATTTACTCAGATAAATACCTGGAAATTCCTTTTAACAATATTCAACTCAAGCCTCATGTGCAGCTGCAACAATTCGATAAATGAATATACAATTACTAAAAGCAAATGTTGAAAGTGTCACAGCGACTGTCTTGAATATTCAAACAGTCAGTTGAAATTATAATTACCGAAAATGGTCAGGATTTTATACATGTTGAATAACCAAAATAACTTTAATATATATATAAAAAAATCATCTACGGAAGCGAGTTATACAAAAGCCGAAGCGTGAAAACGACAACTGATGATCATGATTGCTGATGCTTGAAAATTGAAAACGGCTGCTGGAGGTACGTAAAATTGTTTTAACAACTTTGGACGCTTTGCCGAATGATGCGATCAGAAAACAAACAGAAAAGGCGAAAAGACACATTGAAAGAAATGTATTGTAGTGAGTGTTGCGACGGCCGAACCGCCGGTCGAACTTCCGAAAGGGTAGCAGCTGAGTGCCACGCTACAGAAAACGCTTTTTGAGATACAGTCGGCCACAAAAGTTTACGGACCACGCGAGCCTTGGCCGAGTTGCATTATTGCGCTACCTTCCTGCGTGGCGCATGTGGTCGAGACGCGTAGATCGCGCATCCGCGTCGTTTGGTACTTGCAGGCCTGTCAACTCTCCCGCTTCCGGCCGACACCTTCCTAATCTCACGAATATGACGCCGGGCGCCGTTTTGATAGTCACCGTTGGCAGCCGTGCCGCAGCTGTATTTTGGTGGCGCAACGAGTGGCAGAAGCCCAGATCTTAACTTCACCTTCCGCCATCCGGCATTGGTATTGTTTTTCCCAGCCCAGCGGCCAGAAAAACAGCCATCTTGCCTTTTCCTTTTTTTGTTTTGTTTTAGAAGCATATTATTTTTTTTCCGCCGCTTGCTGCCTGGTCAACCAGTCAGTGACAGCAATTAATCCAGAAATCGTAATTTATTGTATTTTGCACGCGTTATTAAATAAAGTATTTAAAAATCTAAAGGGCGTTAAAAAAGAAAAGAAAGTGGAAACAAAGAAAGAATGGCCGTCTTCCTGGCCGCGGAGCTGGGAAAAAAATCATGAGTCATCCCCATCTGTGAAGGTACGTGACCGGCGAAGCTGTTCAGCACACGACGCAGACGTGACGCAGAATTTTCAACAAAGATACGAACACATTTATGTACGACCTTCATCGGTGGTGTTTGCCACCCGCCGCCGCCGCTTCTCGTTGCCCCATTACGGCGGGAGAAGAGAAGTGAAATTGCAAATGGAGAACGGTAACTTGTCTTTATGGTTTCTCATGTACATGCGCGTGGGCGACTGTCGCCGCCCCGAGGAGCGGAGGAAACTGGACAGGCGGGGCGGGACCGCCACCCGGTGGAAAGTAGACAGGCGCGACGTAACCGCCACCCCCGCGAGATAGCGGAAAGAAACTAGGCACGCAAGCGCTTGAACGACGTCAAATAGAGTGCGCGAGACGTTTTGTTGACGCTCATGAAAATCCATAGAACCCTAGCCATAAACAGCTTCGCTGGAAAACAATTCCATGCCGGACGGCGCAAGATACAGTTAATAGAGAGTTTTCGTAGACCGCGTTTCCCCCCCGCTAAACACTCTGCAACCCGCTACGATAGCCGTAACTCTACAGTCAAGGCCATGGGCGCGTAGGCGCAGTAGCGGCTTCTTCGTTACGGAGGGCTTAGCGGAGGGGGAAACGCGGTCTACGAAAACTCCCTGATATCGCAACTCTGCCAGGCATCGCGCCACCGTGATACAGCTGCTGCACGGCGAACACCAGCGGCAACCGAAGCGCCACCCAGCGTCGTATGCCTGCAAGTACCAAAGGACGCGCATGCGCACATTACGAGTCTCGGCAACAGGCGCCGCGCCGCAAGGTAGCGCAGTGAGGAAGCTCGAT